TTTTATTATTTCACAATATCGAGTCTTGCAGGAAAAGCACGCCTCTGGAGATGTGCTGATTTATGGATGCAACTGTACTGAAGCCCAGCAATAAACTACACACTTTAAGTCGTATTGAGATAGAAGAAACGGGAGCTACACGAGTGTAAAAACAAGCCCGAGTTTCTCTTTATGCTCATGATTTAACGGAAGAATTGCACAATTAAAATAAAAATCACTATTTTATTGAGGCTGTAATCTGCATTATTTGCAGATTATCCATCATTTTTACTATGTTTTTACTTATTTACCTTACTAAATAAGGTATTACTGGTAAATGGGGGCTGTAATGACTCTTCCCATGACTCTAATCAAATATTAAAAAAAACCAAACAAACTTTAAAAGCATTTCATCTTTCTTCTAGTACAAAGACGCACTGCAAACATCACATTTTAAAGCTGCTCCCTGACAGCAGTTTGCATGCTCTGTTATGGTAACACCAAGCCGCCGCGCCCCGGAGCTGCTTTGATTTATGACAGGAGCGTGTCTCTGTCCTGGGAGTGACTCTGGATCAAACTGACACACATTGTTGAAAATTTATGGATTATTTTGTATTTTCAGGCTGCACATCATCTGTTTGTGCAGTTTATGTTTAAATAAGGTCACCAACAATGCTCTGAGACCAGAGGCTGCTAAGTGGTTGTGACCTGCAATCATGTGATTAGTCATTTAGCGAGCTGTTCGCACTTTGTCCTCTCAGCCGTGGGGTGTTTGAGATCTGAGCGTGAAACGTGTTACTGGAGGAAATGCGTCGAAGGCGGGAGACTTTGATTGATGTGTTCCTGTTGGAGGCAGTCGTACAGTCAAACACCGACTGCCAGAATGAGTTTAAAGCATCTGACTGTGAAGTGTAATTATCAAAGCCTGCTGCTGCTTAAATAATCATTACTTTGAAGCAGTCTCAGCTGTGCAATAAGACGTTGGCTTGGGGATAGCATCTTACTCCACACGGAGGCTGCACGTTCTGTTTCTGTGCAGCTTTTGCTGCGTCTGCACGAGTCCAGCGTTTTGGAAAAGGTTCTGGAAATGGTGCTGAGCCAGTTCTAGCTTGAAAACAGAGCTTGTTTTTAGTGTTGATGGGCAGAGGCAGTCTTTTGAAAACCATTACTCATGTGCTTCCTGGCTGGATGGTGTCAGTCACTACATATCCTTCCCAGCATCCCCACACCCCTTACATGACCCTTTCCAGAAAAGTCCTGTACTGCAACTACTCCCACCCAGTCTGTCTCACACAAACATTTTAAAGTGCCCAGTGTACATGACTGGCTGTGTGATTATTCCACAGTCACCCCCTTAAATGCTCCTCGCCTCCCCCTGGCCCCCCACCCAGGGGGATCAGTTCACTGGTGGGAACGTAACCTGCGAGCTGACCTCAGATCGCTGTTCTCCTCCAGCTATAACATGGCTTTAACTTCACTTTTCTCTCATCTTCATTTCTGCTCAGTTCGTTCTGGCTTCGAGCTGCTTGGTTGGTAAAATTCACGGTGGTGAGGTAACACACCGCCGTGTATTTTACCAACCAAGCAGCTCGCTCGGCCATTAAAGGCTCGAGCCACAGATATGTCCTGAACCAGTCGGCGTGATGCTTGTCCTTGGACTGTGGCGTTACCTTAATAATGTTAGCGTTTCCTGTTTGAGGATTAACACTGTTAACATGAGACTCACAGGCTGTTTGCACTTGTTTTTTTTGTTTTTGTTTTTTGCAGCCTGATGTTTATTATTTTGTCCCTGAGCAGGTTTGTGTATTTAGATTTTTGGCTAGATGGCAGGACTGTCACACATTATAAATGGTGGGAGCTGTGCAGTGCCTTCTCTCCCAGATTGAACAGGTGAGATCCTCACTGCTGTTATTTTAAGCCGACTGATTATAGACTGTAATTTCTAATTAGAGGTAGTGGCATTCTCAGCTATTAGCTGTTAGTTTTAAGGGTTTAAAAAAAAAAAAAAAAAAAAAAAAAATATAAGCAGTTTTCTTTCTTTAACGCACAGTTATTTATGCACTCCTTTATTCTCTGCTGCTCTGTGCTCTGATCAGCTGGTTGGCGTCTTTATGGCTTTCCAAACATGCACGATTGAAGGAAGTTTTTACCAGCTTATAGTAAAAAATAAATAAATAGATTTTATATAACTGGCTGTTATAAACTGTGATGCGATTAGATCATTACATGGTTAATATGGGTCGGGCACTGATTTCACCCCGTTGGGGAGTTATCTGTGGATGGGTTCAGTGGCGGGCAGTTCTCTGGTGAATTACTGCTTTTCCTGCTTTTTGAACCCTGTTTCTCAACAAAAAGTTAGTTTCAACATAAACAATTATTATTCTTGATCAACTTCAGCAAAATGTAAATTTTCGAAATGGATAAGTTAAAACGTTAAAGTGGAATCTGTGTGGACTTTATCGCGTGTTTAACTTGGTGAATTATGGTTTAACACTTCATCTGATTGATGAGTGTTGATATCAGCAGTACAGTGCAGACCGGGGCGTGCACTGCTGTGTTCCTTCTGTGAGTTATGGAGCTGCTTTGTTCCCACGTGAAGAGGGAAATCCCTTGATCCTTTCCCAACAGCAACTAGCCACGTCTCGAGCCCAGGGAGACTTTCTGCGAGGGCAGAATATGAGGCTCAAAACACACCAGCTTCATCCATTTTCTGTGTAAATGCACACACCAGCAGAGTGTAAGCAGATGTGCTGCAGATTTACTGGCTGTGTGAGGGATGAGGGGGGGAAACGGCATTTTATGGTCAGCTGGGGCTGCCGAGTTCGGTGAAGACATGAGCGAGTGCTCCTGTTTGTGTCCCACAGGGCATTTACTGAAATCATAGTTGTTGTGATTTAATTTTGTGGGTTTTGGACTCGTGTAATGGGACACACTGTAGAAAACTGTAGTTGTAACGTGCAGTTGGGTGTACTTTTAACAACTTGGAATGAATGTGGGAGGAAATGCTTTTAGAACAAGTGAGAAATCAAAGGTGTGTCTTATTTTGAAAGAATCTATTAAAGGAGTGAACGACTTTCTCGTGTAGCCCAGTGGGAAACTGACATGAGTTTGGGTTAGAGTTGGATTGTTAAACCTTAAACCTGCCTTCTAGGATTTCTTTAGGATTATAAACCATGACTGCTTTCTTAGCATAATTCCTCCCCTAAAATCATAATGTTATAAATACAACAGGGATGGTTTTCCACAGAGGAATGCATGTGTGATCTGAGCACAACTTTCATGTTTCTTCTTTGTCACTTAACACGAGTAGGCAGTAAACCAGCTGCCTTACTGAGACAGTCTCTCATCCTGAACTCCTGCTCTGCAGCTTTGAGGACAAAACTGGTTTTGAGGGTAGATGATGAAGGACTGTCGCAACAACAACCTGACCAGTGAGCGAGCTGCTCACAAATACACAAGACTGGAGAGTAGAAGGGCCTCGCACAGCTGATTGGAAAACACGTCAACACTTAACTTAGCAGTCGAAGATGACGTTCTCACAGACAGACAAATCTATATTTAAAAAAACAAACAAACCCTTTGATGCTAATGCTTCCCGGCCATATATTATATTATATTTTGCTACAGTTGGCTAGTTAGCATCTCTGTCCTGCAGCTGATGCCAGGTTTGAGTAAAACACAAGTACAGTCTGTTTAAAGTGAAGTGAAGTGATACCTCAGAAGTGTCAGCAGATACTGTTTTGGGTGGTTTGTAACACGTTGTCCTTATTTTACAAATTTAACACACTTCTCTTGAACACATCAAACATTTTAGTCCTCATGTTATCGCTCTCTTTTTCTCGATGCATGTTATTGTCCAAAAGTCAGGCGAAGGTTAAGGGTTATTTGTCTCTTTTGTGCTGGGGTTAAGTGGTTTGGCTAGTTTGTAATAAACAGATTCTCCACAGAGTCTTCTGTGTGGTTTCTGATGTCACCTGTCGTTCTGTTTTTCTAAGGCACAGATGCAGTTGTAGGGAGATGCCACCAAATAGTCTAAGAGTGAAATCAAGATGAACCTGATAAGGTTTAGATGTGAGTTGGTTTCATTGAGAACACCAAATGTATGACTGGTGTAAAAACCACAGCTGTAATGTGTGCTGTGGTTTCAGAGTGCTTCATGAGGTTATTTGTTTTTCTTCAGTCATAGATGGCTTTTAAAGTGGAATAGACCCCTATTTTGTGGCTTTGACAGCCATCCAGACATCTAAACGACTGAAGAGTTTATTTTTATTTTTTTGTTTTAACATCAGGAATTTGACTCAATCTTTTTGCTTAACCTGGCTTGGCATTGCAAAGGAAGGAAACATCTTCCTTCCCTCCATTGTGCTGCAGGAAAGGATGGACTTTAGCCAGCTGACAGCTGTTTCCTGCACGATGGAGGAGGAATGGGTGTGTGGGTGGTAGGAGTGTTGATGCTAGTGGGTGAATGTTTCTCTTTTTTTATGCTTTTATCTCTTGCTGCAGTTTAATTAAAACTGTAAATCTGCAGGTTTCGTTGTAATGTGAAAGTCTGGTTTTAATTTTATGTGTTATATGTATTTGGATGGCTTTGGGTGCATGTTTTAATATCTTTGCAATAAAATTTCATATACTTAATGTTACCAATAAAATGACCTTGGAGCAAATTTCTCTTTATGAACATTGGAGGTGTTTCATTTCTAGCCAAAGAGTCTGGAATGATATCAAAATAATAGGAACCATTTGGATAATTTATTTTATTTATGTTGAGGAAAGCTCCCCAAACTAATGTTTGTTTTTTTTGTTTGTTTTTAAAAAGGATACATCCTATTTAAATTTGTTAATTTTTAAAAATATTTGGTATCTACAGATTAGCAGTGCTGGTATCATCAAATCAGCTTTTATAACATCAGCAGACACACTTTTTTTTTTTTTTTTCTGTGGAAAAATCCTTTAACTTTGGAGCTGTGTGGGGATTTTCCTGCACGTGCCTCATGTTTCAACATTCTAATGAGATTCATATCTGGGTCTTTTTTTGCTTTTGAGCCATTCCAGTGTGGATTTGCCAGCGTGCTTAGGATCATTAGCCTGTTACAAGGTCTACTTGGAGTTCAACTTCAGCTTTGATACTCATGGCCTCAAATTTTCCTCAGATGCTTCCCAATACAAAAAAAATGAATAGTTGAGTCAACGACTGAGAGCTGTCCAGAGGCAGCAAAACAATCCAGAACAATAAGATTTCCTATCGTCATGCTTCAGTTACTGGCAAAACGACTCTCTCTGATTGTTCTGTTTCAAAAGGCCTGCTCTTTGTACCCTCAAGATCAAACTGCAGATTTACTCCAACGCTCTTTCTGGACAGAAAGGCCTCTTTGGCAGGTTATCTTCATGCACACTCTTAAAAGATTGCAGGTGCTTTTTCTTTATAAGCAGCAGTTGGAAGAGCGACCTGTAGAGCCTGTGATGAAATTCTGGGGCTCCATGGTGGTTATTTGTCTGACATGTGAAAGATTCTAGGTTTGGGAGGGGATGACACACAAACCCGGTCTCATGGGTGTTGGTCACTCCTACTAATGGTTCCAAATACAGGTAAATGGGAGGGTTGCATTAGGAAGGGCACGCAGAGGAAAATGCTAATTTATTAAAGCTCACCCGTCCTGAGCTGGCAGCGTCTGGGCTGACTGTGGCTGTAATTTGGGTGTTGTGAATGATGAGGAAAAGTTGGTTCCAACCTGTGCAGATCTAATTCCATGAAGGAAGTGTTGTGCGATTATTTGTCTGCTCAGATTATTTTTAAAAAACTGTTTTAATTGTATGCCTGGAGTTAAGAGCAGTCAGTGTCACGCATCAAAAACAGGAAGCGAACTAAAGCGGCTCTCTGTGCAGCGACTCAACACCACGCTACAACATTTCTGTCAACTTTGTCCTCGTACGGCCCGACTTCCTCCGCCTCACTCCTGCTTCCGATTTCTCTCACCCGCTTTCCCGCTCTCCTCTCGTGACTCATTCTTTGTAGATTTGGGAGCTTCGAGGACAGCTGTGGTCTGAACTTTCTGCCACGACAGACTGAGATAGCACGGTGGATATTAAAGCTCCAGCAACAAGGCGATGCCTGATTCGAAGCACATAATCTTACGACTGAGTAGCAAACAGGCTGTTCTCCTGTGGTTTAAGTGCAGAATGCCTCTGAATGATTTGATATACTGAGCACTGACGCCTCTCCCACAGAAAGCTTCAGTTTTACCCCTTAATGTTGAAGTTTATTTTTGTTCTTAAAACGTAATTAGAAGCTCCAGCTGTACATCTGTGTTTGAGCCGTCATATTTCTGTGGCTTTGTTGTCGTCATTCATTTAGTTTTGACTTGTGAAGCACACGCAGGAAAGCTTCCCACTTAGATTTAAAATGTGCCAGCTTACAAAGATGCCATATGCACGCTCTAATGGTCGTCTGTTTCACGCAGCAGCAGAATGACAGCATTTTCTTTTTTGTATTTTTAGAGGAAAGCTCTTAATTTGAAACCGAAGTATTTTGCTTGGCAGGGATTTTCCTGTGTGGTGATTTTAGCTGCTTGCAAAGGAAGCGCTCGCCTATGTTGTGACGATTGTGTGTATGTGTCGAGAGAGAGAGAGAGAGCTCTACCTGATGCTGCTTAAGTGACTCAATGTTCGTATGTTGATTCATGGTTTTCTTAACTACTGCAGAATATTTTAACAGGGTTATCTGCTATAAAAAGCCAGGCCAGGAAAATCGCCTTCATGTTTTTATCCTTGGTTACTTTGACACAGTCATCTGCTGTGATGCTCACACGTGTCAGCTTTGTTTCTATACATGGATATAAAAATATAGACATGTACTGAGACAGAAATATTCTAATTCTGATCATTTGAGTCAAAATTGAATCGGGAGCTTGTGAATCAGAATTGAATCAATTATAAAAATCTGCGACGATACCCAGCCCTAGCTGTAACCCACCGATGTGTAAATCCACCTTGTGTTGTCGCTGCTTTGGGCTTTCAGCCCGTGAGCACATGCCGCTGAGCTTGTTCCTCTGGTGGGTGCAGCTCTGGGACGAACTTACTGTTACTCAGCTATGAAAATAATCCAGCGTGAGCTGAGCTGAACTCTGCCTTTTGGCCTCTCTTGCTCTAGTTTTCCCATCTTTGTTTTTCCTCTTTCTGCTTTGATCTACATCTCCTGGCTGTGCTCTGTCTCCATGGTGATGTAAAACCAGCCTGGGGGGGAAAAATAAAAATCTTAACACATCTCTGGCTTGTTCTCTCCCTCCCTCCCTTTGTTGTCAATCCCTCGTCTCCCTCACTTGGTTCTGCATTTCAGCCAGCCAGGTGCGTCTTGTCAGCCACCTGCTATCCTACCTACTTCCCACCTTTACCGCCACTGTAGAGGGTAGCCATGGCAACCAGCGCCGTGCCAAGTGACAACCTGCCAACGTACAAGCTGGTGGTGGTGGGGGATGGGGGTGTCGGGAAGAGCGCCCTCACCATCCAGTTTTTCCAGAAGATCTTCGTGCCAGACTACGATCCCACGATTGAGGACTCGTATCTTAAACACACAGAAATAGACGGACAGTGGGCCATACTGGACGGTGAGTTCCAAAGAACCAGACAGCTTGTAAATCTTCTATGCTTCTTATTTTTCCCTCCTTTTGTTTCAGTCAGCACAACACATCCATCATCGTGCCACAAGTTAACATTTGTTATTGTTCTTCTTTTGCCCGTAATTACAATCCTGCGGCAGCTGTCTACACTGAGCTTTATATAAAACATCAGCTGTGGTTTTTCCATGTGAGAGAAACTGTGTACAATTCCATAATTTTATCCTCTCCCTTTATAATTACTCAATTTATATTTAAAGGATGCAAAAACACCTGAAAAACAGATCATTTCTAAATTGTTCTATCATTGAATATGTTCAGTCTTTTGTAAGTGAACTTCTGACCTTTGCAAAGAGAAATTGTCACTTTGTGATGCAACTGTTACGCAAGCGTGTAGCTAAGCCATGAATGCACTCAAGATAAGGACAGTGGCCCACAGACCCACGTAGATGTACAAATGTGTTTCTCCCAGTGTGCAGCGATTGTGCTGGTGGGGGGGGGCATGAAACTAAAACTCACATGTTGTAGTGACAGGACGTCCACAGTGGCTCTGATAAAAATCACATTTTAAATACTACTGATGTTTGTGTGTGGATCAGTTTTGTTTTAGTCTGATGTATTTTTAATGAACATATGCATGTTCAAAGTGCGATCCTTGCATCAGATGATGCTCGGGGAGTATTTCGTGTACTTGTGTGATTTAAGTGAAGAGCCCTGAGACCCTTCTCAGTGTATTAATGCATTTGTCCCGAAATGGACACAGTACTGGACACGGCCGGTCAGGAGGAGTTCAGTGCAATGAGGGAGCAGTACATGAGGACGGGAGACGGCTTCCTGATCGTCTTCTCGGTGACGGACAAGGCCAGCTTTGAACACGTTGACCGATTCCATCAACTCATACTACGGGTCAAAGACAGGTAGGAGCAGAAAAATAAACACTTGGACAACAAAATTAAATATTCTTGCAAAGTCTTTTGCATCAAAGTCTTTTCTTTGTTTCTCTTGGAGCAAGTTTTGCAGCTAGTTATTAAAACATGGCTTTAATAACTAGCTGACTACGTCATAACAGTGAGCCTTATCAGCTGAAGATTATACAAAGAAATGAATGCATGGTGCGCTTCCTGTATCAGTGCATTATAAGCATTTGTTTATCCATATATAGGCAGTTTAAAGTTTTTCAAGTTTAAACTCCCACACTTTTCCAAGTGGGCTTTTTTTTTTTTTTACAGTGTGTTACATGAGAGCACAGAGGATAGTATTTTTTGGGTGGAGAGAATCACTTTTTAGTGTGTTGGTGACTGAACCTGTTTCTTGGCTTTGGCTGGACTGGGGGGTTTCAGAAGTCCTCAGTCAGAGGATGGTTACTGCTAACATGGTGCCAAGCAACCTGAGAAGGTATTTAATCATGAGAAACGCTTGAAACCACTGGTGCCACGAACGTTGATTGCACTGTGTGAAAGTTGGAGGCAAGTTGTATGTAGTTTATTTTATTGAACCTTTTCTTTATACTGTTAATCTCATTCAGTATAAATGTCTCATTACACCGTCAGACAGATCTGTGTCAGGCAGTGTCATAAATGTGCAGTCAGGGCTGTCTGTGTCATGTTTGGTCCAAAGGGAGACAAAGAACTGAAATGTTGTGAAGTAAATTTTGCCTTAGATGTCATATATAGCATCCGATTAGGTTCCCCTTTCCATTTAAGGCACATGTTATCTTCCAGAGAGTCTTGGTCTCTGTCCTAGTGTGCCCTTATGAACACAAAGGGTACGCAGTTCAAAATGTTTGTTTGCAAAAGCTATACGAGCAGTCTCGGAAAGCACCAACATTTCAACTGAAAGTCTGTGTGAACCACTCTGTTAAATATAGCAAAAGAGGAAGTAGTTCATCATATTCATTAAAGACCAAACTTTGCCCTCGCTGACTCGGGCCGCGCTGAGGGGTATGGTTATCATGTGATTTAAGGGCGGTTGAAGATGAAGGTCTCCTCCTTTCCTCGCTCTTGCTCACACCGACGGAACATCAGTTATCTCCAAAGCTGAAATCTGTCGTCGTCAGTTCTCGACCGTGACTGACAAATAAAACTGAGTCACACGCAGGAAATGGAAAAACAAAAAAACGGAACTGAACGAGTTGGAGTCTGTCAAAATTTGCGCTCATCAGCAGCTGATCTATCCCAAATTAAACATGGCCTGTTTTTTAGTGTGTTAGCGTTTCAAATGCAAGCGAGAATTAGTCATATCCTCCTATGACTAAGCATTCAAGGCTGTTTGAAACATCTGTACGCGTCGATAAAATATTCAGTACTACAGCGATGCATTGCATCTCGACTCTGTCCTTATCGTCTCAGGGAGGCCTTCCCCATGGTGCTGGTCGCAAACAAAGTGGACTTGGTCCACCTAAGAAAAGTCACAACTGACCAGGGGCAGGAGATGGCTGCAAAGCATAATGTAAGTAGTCTTTCCTTAAGCATGTGTCCCTGATGACTTATTACCGCCTACAAACAGCATCAGGGTTTTTGAATTATGCAAAGCTTTAAGTTTCAGTGTTTTCATGTTAGTCCGTAATAAACACAGGTCGTGTACGGGGGCAGAAAAGACCAGCGTTCAAGGAAACGAGCAAATGGCAATTATAGGCCTGCAAGCTGCTACTTCTCAGCTTGTTTAGACAGGCAACAGTTCTGAATGCGATTAATGCTTAATCATTATTGGTCTTTCAGAACCATCACAGACTTGAACTGCACATTACTGTAAACTTAAACACCTGACTGAGCTGCTCATGTTTCATATTTGTTTCCTCAGATAACTTATATTGAAACCAGTGCCAAGGACCCCCCAATGAACGTGGACAAAGCCTTTCATGAACTGGTTCGTGTTATAAGGTAACCTGAGGACCTTCAGATCTTTGAAATAAATATGCTGGGATAGGGATGCACTTTATGTAAAGATGGGTCACCGCTGCGTGAAAGGCAGCACTTCATTAAAACAGATGGAACAAAAATCGTGGTACCGCCTGTGAGTGCAGGTTAAAACTGCAAAGGAACGCCGACGTGTTCCCGTCTCATTAAAGATGAAGTGAGGTTTGTTTTACAAGACACGAATTTCGAATTCTTTTACAAAATCCTCCCGACAACAGCGCTCTGTCCTAAAGGCGTGTGAGATGGTGTGGAGGGGGTATTAGTTTGAATGCTATATACCTATGTGGTATGTGACTTTTGTTGCCATGATGCCAGGTCTCTCTTGGAAATGAGATTTTTAATCTCAATGAGATTTTTTACCTGGATAAATAAAGGATTAAAAAAAAAAATGCCATGGCTAATATGCACATCTGTGACGGTGCTGTTAATCATAAACTTGGTAAAAGGGTTTTGGATCAAAGAGGCATAGATGATACCAAAACATGACTATGCAGCTCTAATTAAAGGAGTCTGATCTGCAGTCACCTATAACAAACAGCATGGCAAAGAAAACCTCAAAACTCTGGAGCAGCTGAAATCTCATATCAAGCAACAGTAAAAATGCATCAGCTGGCCATAAAGCTAAAGTGATGCAACGCAGCGCAGCGCTGGACTGTGAAAGTGTTTTTAGGAAGGATGGGGGGAAAAAAAGGGGGGGAAACAAGACCAAAGCCACTTCCTGTCTTGACCCGTGTAATTTCAGAAGAATTTGGTTTTTGTATGTGGTCACATCCTGTTTATAAGTCTGGCCGAACACTCGACAAGTAATCCCTCTCGTGGTGTCGGGGCTTCGTGCTCGTTACACAGCAGCAGATCAGTGCGTTCTCTCACACGTTATTAAAAAAAGAAGATTACTAGACTTGTGGAAAGCTCTTATTGTGCGTTTGCCAGCTTGTAGCTGACTCATGAGAACACTCTTCCTTTGCAACACATTTGGAGCTCGATGAATCAACACTGCCCTCCTGTGGTCATACTTTAGACATCCAGTCACCAGGGAGGTTCACAGAATATTGAATGATCTGCCCTGAGCACTCATGAAATGCTATACTTAATCAGCAAGAGCCAGTGCATTGATTTATGGATTTATGGGTTCTTTTATAGCAGTGGACTCGGCTCTGTCTCGATTCTGGAGACATGAGAACAGGAAAACATTAGACACACAAGCCTGGAGCTCAGTAAAAACAGTGCAAAGGTTATAAAAAGAGTTTTATTAAAGGGGCGTAATGTACTAGTTCAGGGGGATCATTGCAATTATCTGCTGTTTTTAAATTTGATTCCCACTACTCAGAAATGGAAATCAAAAGTAAAACTTGGGAAATTGACCTTGTGGGTAAAATTTGGAGATTAAAATGACGATTTCCTGAGCTGGAGAAAAATGATCATTTATATGAGATAATTCTAAAGTACAAAGTTAAAGTTTTGCTTTCAAATGATTAAAAAAGAGGTTTATGCCTTTTCTTCTTCTTTTTTGCTGCCTGCAGACAACAGGTCCCAGAGAGAAACCAGAAGAAGAAAAAGAAGATGAAGTGGAGGGCGGAGCGTTCCACGGCCTCCCACAGGTTCCACTGCGCCATATTGTGACCAAGCTCATCATCTCCATCATCTATCACGCGCACACACACACACACGCACACACACCAACAAACCTTTGGATGTCAGGGAACTCCCCAGCAGTGGTCAAACTACGGGAGCACAAAAGGGACTGGGGGTTGGTTGAGGAATGACTCGATGGATCCAGGAAGGATGAAATTGATCTGAAATGTTGGACTCTGCCCCTCACGATGCCTCGGACTGAGCGCTACGCCTGCCCCCCTCACTATATGGTCCTTTTCAAAGGTTTTTCTTCTTTCTTTGAGAACCTCTCCCCATCTGTACTCGTCCCTGAAATACATAGTTATCTAATTTATGAACTTACTATGAAACGTGGCACAAGATGACAAACTGTCCGGGAAAGACAGAGGTCAGAATCACCTTGGACTTGGAACCTTTTGTCCTCTTGAGCAAGGGAAGGAAAAGCAGCGGTGTTTGTGGTTTTGACTCCCAGCAGTCTGTCCCCACGCACCTTCAATTCCGGTGGGAAAAGCTCCGACGTGATGCCCGACGAGGCCGGCTTTGGATCTCTGTTCTTTCTGCAGAGCGGACGAAGCCGAGAGTGGTGACAATAGATGTTGTGCAGTGTCGTCGATACGTGGACGGTGAGCCCAGTGAGTATAGTGAGCGTGAACATTGTGGTGATGTGGTTTGGAAATGTCAGTTTGGAGGGCGGCGAGAGGGCAAGTGAAAGAAACGTGTCATATGTGTCAGTGAATGCTACGAGCAGATCAGCAAGTGTTTGATTATTGTTAAAGAGAATACTGAGACCGGTTGGTGTGGCGATCTGTTAAAGGCCTTGTTTACACTCTTACGCGGGACTAGTTTCTCACGTGCAAACAGACGGCACCAGGAGCCACTTTGTCTCTAAGTGTTTGACGGTTGGTTCGGTTGCCTCTTCAGTCATCGTCGTCGGTAACGAGTGCAATCTGTTAAGTACTGTACGATCAGCTGTCCTGATACTTTTCTTTTCCTCCCATGTTTTTATAGCTGAAATATTACAGAAAAATATGATTATATTTGATATTAAAAACACAAACTGTGGCAATGTAAACAGATTCAGTGCTGTTTTACAGAAGCTCTCCAGGAAAGTCTTAATGAAATAGAATAAGGGATAACGAGAGCTTCGTGATTTGCGCTGGCCACTAACCAAAACCATGTGATGTCACTTTATTTCAGTCTCGAGGCTGTTCAGACTGCACCACTGAATTCAGGACTACGTCATAAGATAAATCTGTGTGGGGGGTAAAAACGGTAACCTGGGAATGTGTCGGCGGCGCGGCGCTCCCAGGGCTGAAAGCCATGTTAGCTTAGCCACAGACCACGGTTAGGTGTAGGGAAACTGCACACTAGAAGCAACAACACGCTCAGTGACTCGGTGCTCGTGGTCGTGCGGTGGATAGGAATGTACAGTTTAATAATATACGAAATGGCTCGTACTGTTAACGCACTAAAGTTTCAGCTGACACTTTGCTCTCTGGATGAATACGGACTCTTGAAGGAAGGAGTGCATCTTTTTTTTTTTCTTTTTGCACTTTTAATACGATTTCTCACTTTCCTATCGGCATGTTGTTTTCTTTCTGAATCAGTAATAGAAGCGAGGAGCACGGTAACAACGTCTGAATGTAAAAATAGGGAAAACGAAGCGAGCTGATAGGTGTCGTAACGCTGTGTGCCTGTTGCCTCCGTGGTGATTGTAACAGAGTAAAACTAGGATGGGACTAAAAATATTCAAAAGGTATTAAAAAAAACGTTGTTCGGTATTCAGTTTTGAATTTAAGAAGGCTGCCTGTGAAAAATCATTTATTAAATGACAAATTCACCTGAGCGTGGAAGTGGGAATCGCCCTCTGCTAAAGGAGGAATACAACATTGACAGTACTGATCGACATTTACTGATCAGGAGTTTCCAGAAAAAGACTCCAGCTATTACAGAAGCAACAGACTCCAGGAAAAAAGAAGAAAAACCGAATGTGTTGAAAATGTTGCATCATGTGTGTTTGATACCATTTTGTATTATTGATATGAATCTTGTGTGTTTTATAAGGAATTAAATAATTTATTACTGTCTGTTACCTCAGTGTGTCCCAGACCTGGACAAAAAAAAGCTCCCCACTGTGTTTGTTTTTTTTATCTTGGAGATTCTTCACATTTGAGTCTCATATTTTGGACCAAGATGAAAAACCTGTTTGGTCCTGAGCTGAAAAGGCATAAGGAGCTCTGCTTTACTGGGTCCAAGAAATTTTCAAATTTCCTGGTGAGGCTCGTGCTAAACTAAGCGAACTACCTGCTGGTATCTGTTTTTTGTCCAGAAACATTTGATTGCTGCCTTTCTCGGGTTGATCAAAATCCCTGAGGAATCCTGAAAGGGCGATTGTGAGTAAATGAAGAGCTTCTGTTTAAATTATGTAACCGATTTCAGTTTTATACATCCCGAAACTTTGTAAGTGAATGAAGGTGGAAACTTTTACATTTGGTTTGCAAAAAAGGAGTTTTCACAAGTTGTGTAACGTGTTTTTTGGCAGGTCTGTTGTGTTCTAACTGGCTGTGTCAGACTGAGGCGCTAGACGAGGCACAATCTGTGGCCTTCTTCTCTAGCCTCAGGGGTCGATTATATTTCAATAAAATAAATAACAGGACTGTGATTTATCTTTTTAGACACTTTTTGGGTGGGTGGGGTGGATCCGTAGAATATGCAGTACTCTCCTGATCATGTGATCAGAGTGGCGTTCAGCGGCTGCTCGTGTTTCCTGTCGCCTTGCTCGCTCAGCAGAAGCTCCCCTCATTAATCTTCAGAGACGTCACACTCCATCGACTTCAACTGTGAGAATGCTGAAAGCTTCACTTTTGCCTCGTTGGCAAAAAAAGCCTGTCCAAATTCCTCGGGGGGGATTTGGCCAGGTTGGCACACAGAACAAGTCCTGCATGTAAAGCATTCACAGTCCTGTTCCTGCACAGGTGAACTGGGAAGAGGCTGCTCAGTGTGAGTCCAGGTGGACGAGCAGTGAGTCATGCCCCCAACATTAATGATCAGAACATGAAGCAGAAAAGGTCGTCTTTGCCGTAACTAGAAGATTGTTTCTGCTTTAATGACGCTCTAATCTCAGTGTTTTTGCACACTTACATGAATAAATGAGAGAAAAATGAACCACATTCTGCTTTGATTTAAAATGCATCACCACTGCTCACCACTGGGGGTCAGTGCTTCACTGTCACTACAGTGGTACCAAAAGCTTTGCCAAGCACACCTTTGCATTGTGAGCAAACCCACAGACTGCTTCAAGGACCCCCCAAAAATGGACAAATTCAGAATTAAAATGGCAAAAATCTCAAGTTCTCCGAGTAGTTTGAAAACTCACAAATAAGTCATTTATATGGAAATAGAAAAATACCAAAGTGAGGCACAGCAGCCTGAATACATTAACCAGGAGTGATGTTTTTTTTGAGGCAGGAGCAAACAGAGCCTCATGTTGCCGTAGCACTGTTCAGGGACTCTGGGGTCTTTACAGCATGTCCTACTTTTCATTAGAGCAATCTGTGCATTCAGATGCACACCAGACACTTTATTAGGTACAACCTGTGAATGCTGGGTTTTGCCTTCAGAATCAAAAAGCTGCTGGAAACATTCCTCAGATATTCGCTCCACGTTGACGTGACTGCGTCACACGGCTGCTGCAGATTTGCCAGCTGATGAGAATCTCCCGTTCCACCACATCCCAAAGGTCCTCTGCAGGATCTGCTGACTGAAGGCCGTTTGAGTCAAGTCAGCTGTCTTGTTCAAGAAACCAGTCTAAGATGATTTGAGCTTGGTGCCATGTTATCCTGAATGAGCCATCAGATGATTGGTGCACTGTGGCCATAAAGGGATGGACATGGTCAGCAACAGCAGCTTGTTTGGTAACAAACCCACTGACACCTGCTCAGCCGGCTGGCTTAATTGCGCTCTCCCATCATCCTCTGCAAGCTTTTTTCAGCTAGATTTACTTGAGCTGCATTTTCAAGAGCAGAACCTCATCAGTAAGTGCAATGGTACGCTCACTGATTGTTACAATGAAGCGGACCTTCCTTTCAGTAGCATTTCAAAGGATCTCCTTCTTGGTTTTGTACAATTTTAAGGACATGGAAGTAGGCTGTGCTAAAGTGCGCGCATTATTAAATGGATTGAGGGTAAGAGAGAAGCTCCAAGTGAAAACCGTGCATTTGAAATGTAAAAAAGAGGAAGATGTGCTGTAAAGAGCGGTCTGTGAGTAAGCATATGCAGCACGACTGAAGTGGAAGCCAGATTCAGCAGCTATTCACTCAAAGGTTTGTGTGCTAAAGCTCTGCTCCGTGTCAAAGGTGCAGAAAAGATTAACACAGCAGCTTTGACATCAAGAAAACTGGGACTTTTCACTTTGCTCCTTTATGTTTAACTCACCGTGTGGCATCCAATAACAGCTTGATTAGAATGATTGCACGGTGCCTCACAATTTCAAATGGCAGATGTAACGGGAAACTAAGCGACTGATTGCAGTCATTTTCGGTTGAGTTACAGAGGCAGAGAGGTGAGGAAGTCTCAGAGGGTGGCCTTGTCGAAGGTGCACCCAGATGCCCCGCTGTGGTGCAGCTGTATAGAGGGTGATATTCAGCACTTGGGTGAAGTATAAATGACTGGAAAAATCACTCCAGTAAAGCCTGAAGCATAGCAATTACAGACTGTAAGCGGCAGCATGGCGACTCGGAGATTTCAACCCCAGCAACTTCTGTGAGGAGCATATTTGCTCCAGCAGCACTAAGTTCTCCCACCAAGTTATTATGTAAGGCTCGATCACTAAAGCTCTAAACTAACTATTGGGCTCATTTTTGATTGAAGGATTTTAATATCTAGAATTTCAAGATTATTATTCAATAAAATGTTGTTATTGCATACGTCAAAATATATACATCCATTTTCTTCTATTACTCCAATTCAAGGTAACAGGGGAGCTGTAGTGTATGTTAGCATGTAGGGCTAATATAGAGAGACAGACAGCCATTCATACGTTTAAGAAAAAGAAGTTCAGTTTCAACCTGTGAATAGTCAGACTCCAACGTCCAGGAAGGTGGTAGGAAAGCAGACTACGCAGACATTTCAGGTTCCCAGAGGTGAGCAATTTATTTACAGTGAACTTAATTTAATGTGTAAATTAACAAAACTTCCCCCAAATCAACTCAATTAACAAAACTCAACAGAACATGGATCTGGTAACACAGCTCACTTCTCCTCTCTCTTTCTTCTTCTTCTACAGTATAGGGTTTATTGGCGGAACATTAACACAGGAGGACGTTTTCCCACATGTTCACTGTGTGGAAACCCCGGAGGAACCCTCCCGAGGGATTAATAAAGTTAAATTTAATTTAATCTAATAACTTTAATCTCACGAACAAATAAAACACTGGAAAAGCCAAACAATAACATTTTTAAGTTATCAAAGTGACTTATATATGTTTAACCCGAGTAGTGAAAGCTCGCGGGGGTTTGAAGACGATGTGTCGGCTCAGATATTTGAAGTTCACACAGCTACAGTCTCACCTGAAAATATGTTAAAAGTCTTTTTGCGACCCAGAAAGAGAAATAAGAGTAATATTAAAACTAAGTCGCTGCCGCCATTGTTGGAAACTGGAATTGGCTGGGCCGCGCTATGAATTCTGCGATATGGTTTTTCAATGTTGTTGTCCGGGTGGAAAATCGGGAGAATTTTGGCTCCGGGAGATTTTCTGGAGGGGCGCTGAAATTCGGTATTCTCCTGGAAAAATCGGGAGGGTTGGCATGTATGGTTGTGGCAACATCACTAACCTTGTCAAACGCCTCAGAGTAAATCATATCACAGGATATGACGAGCGTATGTTGAGACTGAAGAGGAGGAGAGGGACAGGTGCTGCTAGGGCGAGACAGACGTCTCTCACGGGGTCCTTTAGTGCTGCAGGCAGGCAAGGTGTTCAAATAGCACACAACTTCAGTTTTATATGATGAACTTTGCATTATTAAGTGATAAGAACAAGTGATCTGATGTCCTGTAATCATTATGATGCTATAATTTGAGATACAATAAATAAAATAAGGTTTTGCACAAAGTATCGTCGATACCACCCTGAATATTACTTGGGATCGGAAAGGAAATCAGTGGTATGCACATCACTAGCGGTTGGCAAACAGCAAAATGGAGCCTCACCGCCACTAACTGGTGTGGAGCATCTCTCTCTTGAATCTAGTAGAGACTGGCTTTAAATAGGGCCATCAATTTCCCTCCAATTAGCCCAGCCAGTACCACTCACTCGAACTGAGGGATCTAAAACTCTACACAGATGATTAAAAAGACACAAAACCTCTTCACACTTCTAATATGCACATTTACACAGCTAAATGGCGGTATTAATGAAAAGAAAAACATTCAACAAATCCCTTTAAACCTTAACACAAAAAAAGGAAGCATTTCTATTGACAAAGAAACCCCTCCACTTGGTTTGACCTGCTGATGTCATGTGTGACATCAGCAGGACTTTAAAATGAGGAAATGCTAGGCAGGCATTTCCCCACACCTGATCTTCGTGAAGACTGAAAAGACAGAACAAAGTAAGTATGAACAAGTGACTTAATCTGTAACATAATAAAATATAAAGAAACATGTGACTGAGTATTTGCCTTAATTTGCAGAATGTTTGATTTGCTGGCAACAGAACGCTTCCACAAACAAACCCGGGATAGTGAGTGCAGCAATGTTACTTGACAAATAGCAAATCATAGCAAAGAAATAGAAACAGAATAATGTGTATAATGTGCAAAAAAAAAAGGTAAACACATATGGGACAAATGGAGAGCATTGCAACTGCTCATCCACTTTGTCACACAACCATAGTCTCAGTTCTTCCACATGATAAAGAAACGGTGCCGCAGTGAATGACAGACATCTGTTGAGCTAAATTGTAAGAAATAAATGCATAAAATTGCAGAAAGGGTTCTAACTGAGAGCGAAAAATGGTAACTTCAGTTTTTCTATCTTTTAGTTTGAAAGAAGCACAACCTGAGAAACGTAAGAAAATAAATAAAAGTAAAAGTCCAAAATTTTTGCCCACCTCGATATTTTCCAAAGCCATCCCGTGCGCCAGCCTGAAGACTGATTCTGGTCCCCGGGCCTTATGCTTGACAGCCGTGGTTTAAATAACAGGACCACATATCATGATCAGTTCCCTGTTCTTTGCACTCTTCTCATGATATATTTCTTAGATAACGAACATCATGCTTGAATCTGTAGGTTATATAAGGATGTGACTTTCAAAGCCATAATTCAATGACTTCAGTGTTCAGTTTGTCAGTGACAGATTCCCATTTTTACCCCCACAGCCAGCCCGGGGTTCACTGCTCTGCTTCAGCTGATCTCATTCTGTACCTAAAGTCAAACCACAAATTCACCTGAATCTGTCAAGGCCTGTGATCTTTGTCCCGCCGCCTTCTCCACAAAATCAGATTATGAACTTATTGTGAATAAGAATGAGAGTTCAAGTTCAAGTTCAAATTTTATTCGCTACATGCAGACCATACACACACAGCACAGACATCACATGGGGATACAAGTCAGAGAACGTTGCATTATAGAAAAAGACACTGAAATGTACACTACAA